TAAAAGGCACAAGCAAGCTGCAAATCTTCACATTGGAAGACATAGCATCTAGGCAAGGGAAAATATATTTTGTATTGTAAGCTTTCTGGCTTCTGTGCCCTGATTTCTATTGACCAATCACATTTGAATAGACTTTGGTAGCATGTAAATAAACACTGCAAAAGGATTGCAATTGCCTAAACTATACTGTCTGATGCTGAGATACATTTTTCTTTTCTTTTTGTAATACACATTTGTAAACAATAATTGCTGGGAAAACACTGAAATTTTGGCCTTGATATCGGTTATTAAACCAGAAAACCTAAACAAATGGGTCTCTAAAGACTTTTAGATTTCCCATTGGCACTTTGGGAAAAGGAGCATACATTTATTGACCAACTACCATGAAAAGGAATAGACCAGACTCCAAAAGTTCTTTCTCACAGTTTGTTTTTTGAGCAGCCTCTTCAATGTACATTTTTCCTCAGCTCGCCTTCTGGCCAAATCTCGTTTAGATATATTGTGCTGGTGATGGTCAATGAACTCCCTGAGCCTGCAATAAGCTGCCCCTGAAGAACTCTTAAGCTCTCCTCGATCAGTCACTCAATGAAACATTAGATGCTGCAGCAAAATTAATGCAGCTGAAATTAAATGAGAACACTGAAAAGACTCCCCTTCAGGAAAAAGAAGTGAGCATCTTAAGCTTAAAATCGATCAGTGTAGGAGTTGGGCAAGGTTCTTTATTAACTTTGCAGAGGACCTTCCCCATAGACCCAACTGTGGACAAACACAACTGAGGTGTCAGCAGGTATAAAATGTGCTTAGATGGACTTCTGAGCCTTGTAAATACATTAGCTTTGAGCTGGGTATATAGCTAATCTCAGCTCCTCCCAGCTGGAGAGGGCAGTTATTACCATTAATTATCCCTTCCTCATATTGTCCGCTGTTCACAGAAAACTCTAAAGAGAACTTTTGCGCTTCTCTGTCATTTTATTTTCATGTATCTGTTTCATGAATCTACATTTAATGTTTTTGTTTAAATCGAAATTTATTGAAAGAAAGCACAACAGGGTGAGGCTGTGTGTACAGAGGAGGGAAGCATGCTCACTGATCTAATAAAGATACACATATAATATAAGATTTCGAGTGCTTCTTTTGAAAATTGAAAACAGGACCCTTGATTCCAACCAGCAGAAGCTAAATAAATAGACTCAGAAGAAAAGAGTAAAAAGGAATCAGCTGCAGAAAGATCATTCAGGTTTTAAGCCTCTCATTGTAAACCATGCTGGGGCCCGTGTCTCGTCATGAATACCATCTTTCCTTTACAACAGAAGTGATATAGTCCATTATTGCTGGTGTTATTTGTCAGATGTAAACAAACGAGTATGAAGACAGACATGTAAGATGCAGCTGAAACAGAAAGCAAATATAATTCATGGCTTTATTGTTGTGAGGTCCGGAGCCACAATATCTATTTTAATACTAATCAGAAATTGTAGCTGCAAACCACTAAAAGCAGCGTGTACTGCAGAGAGCAACAAATTAAATTCACCCCCAGGGGACAGCTATAACGTGGCTCTGTAGAAATGATGTGCTTTTACTGGATGCGCAACATAACACATTTCTTGTGAAATACAAACATGCTGTGTTACAAGGCCAGATGCAAGGAGATTACAAGGACAGCAAACAAATGCCATGATCTAAAATATGCATGGAATATTCCGTGTGAGTGTGTGTGTTGTATAAATTACCAAATTACTGTAACCAATGGACATTGTCTATATATTAAACTATGCATACGGTACTTATTCACAGTAGCCAGCTTGTTTCATTTACATCGCTATCATTCACCAATGACAATCATCAGTTTGCTTTCAACAGCAAGAGAACTAAGGCTGCAAAATACCGTATGATGAAGCTGGATGAGAAGCCATGCCTTTCTATTATGCTAAGGTTGTGTCTCCAGTCTGTCTCGGGCTTCATTTCCACGTCTTATCCTGCACCTCTTTAGTGCAGCCAAGGTGAAATAGTACACAGAAGGAACACGGTTCTAACTGTCAGCAGCTGAGATGCATTCAGCCCCATCCTCCTGCACCACTAAGCCCTTCCACAAGCTTTCTAAACAAGTTTCAATTCCACAACTTTTGCCAGTGTCAGTCCAAATAAACAAGTACAAGAATGTAGCCCACATGCTGAAAGGGAATAAGACAGAGACATGAAAGAAGAGTGAAAAGGAGAGCAAGTTAACAATGTACTCTGTATTTATGTGGGGGACATGAGAAGAAAGCACAGAGAGGGAGAGAGAAAGAGAGGGTATATAAAGGGGAACTGGATCACACAAGATGGTGCCTCATTTAGTCATTGTTCAGTCATGCATACTTCGAAGAAATTATGCTTCTTTCATAAGTTGAAAAATGAGCAACACTTTTTGTGGATTTGGGGCCTCAGAGCATGCACGCTAAATGGAGAGCATCAGTGAAACTGTTTTAGACACGCGGTATTACCATAAAAATGTATATTCATCATTAACATTGTTTTCTGAGGGTAACTGTTAATCAACAGAAAATTATGAGACACTATTTAATACCAATAGCATTGAGGAACATTTGGCTCCATTTGGGACATGAAAGACTGTCCTAGAGTGTATTCCTCAACTGGTTGTGAGTGTTTGATGCTTGTTTCTGGCAGTCACTGTGAAACTGATTCCAACAGCCTCGTTCATGCAGACCTACAGACCAGTCAGTGACCACCCTGGGAAACACTGGTTACTAGGGAAAAGTGTGTATTCTGCAATTGGTTGGCAAGTTGGTTGCTGTAGGTAGGTTGACAGGAGTTGCTAGCATGGAATTGGCTGCAAATAGGTAAACAGTGCTGCACCACAAACCTCCTTGTGATTGCTTTGGTAGCTAGTAGGTTGCTGCTGTTGCCAGTAGTTTGCATGGAAGACATCGACTTGATATGTCTGCGATCACCCGTAAACTGCTTGCCAAGTGGTAGCAAAACTGTTAAAAGAGAGGATTTGCCTTCAAAGTAAAAGCTGCATCGTTTGACTTGGCTGCGTTGGTTGTAGCGATAATGCACAACTCTTACTTTGAAGGCTATCATGCTCTCATTCTGACATGTATTACACTTATTCAACAATCACAACAGAATGGGGAGTAAATGGTGAGCATTTGTAGACAAGTTAGGATTTTCCTTCTTGGGTGACTCTTGTTGCTACTGTGCTAGGGTTTTGTTTTGTTTTGTTTTGTTTTTTAGGGGATAAGAGGTTTTCTGCACTGTATGGAACAACAAACTGCAATGAAGGGCATTATGTGTCCTTGAGACTGAGTGCTTAGAAATGCCAATTACTTTGTACTTCACAATAAAAGTCAGTTCCAACGTTATAAACAAACTTGGACAGGATTATTTATCACAAATGATTTTCAAACTGTTTTACTAACCGAACTATGGCAAATGTATGCATTGTTAACATCCCAATGTTTTACCAGTGCATGCCAGCCTGAGCTTTTCTAAAGTCATGAGCCAGACTACAAGAAGGCTACTCTGTAAAGCACAGCACAAAAAAGACATAATCAAGTAGCTATGAAGTCATTTTCAATGAAATGTTCCCTGCTAACGCAAATTAAATCAAGCACTCGTTTAATGTTGACACATAAGAAAAAGAATTTTTACTGTAAATATACTGCCTCAAATCACTGGCATCAATGCAGGGAACTGCAGGAGTATAAATCCTAACTCATGAAAAAGTGCCTGGAATTATTGTAGGTGTTGCTGGAAACTAATCAAGAGCATCACTACCTTTTTCTTTCCTCTGTGATTGAAAATGATATTTGGAAACAAATTAAGGACACTGGGGTCATTTATTTTCAAAGATACAAAAAGTTTTTCCTTGCAGTCTGGCATATAAAAAGGAGAGCAAGGGACTGAGAGCTGCTGAAATCAGTGAGGCAGCTTGGAGATCTTTCAAAGGCACTAAGCAAGTCATTTTAAATGTATCTCAGTAGAATTTCATGAAGCTCAAACAGTAAGACAAGCTCTTAATTATGGCATGACTACAGATTTCTTATTGAACATAAAGTCCAGATTTGGCTATCTTTGCACAAATAAGTAGGCTGGAGGGTGTCTGATGGAGGACAGTGACTGCTATTCCTCATCATGAAGTGAAATAGGATAATCACTGACAAATCAATAAAAGCAATAAAGTTAAGTTTGTTATGTTTGCTTAATGAATGCTAATGAACTTTTCGCATTTGTCATGCAGCTGCTTTTAAAATAAAGAATCTGCATGTACAATGACTGACTTTACATCTAAGTAACATTCTCAGGAGAGGAAGAAGAAGTTCTGTTCTTATGCACTACATCATAATAACTACTTTTAATTCACAACAGAAATATGGAACATTGCTATTTTTGGGCTATGCATCTTTGTATCGTTTCATCTGTTCACCAGCTGTCTGTGTTAACATTTTGGCTTATAAATTAATACTGCAACACCTGTTTCACTTTATATTCTAATTTCTTTGCAGGATAATAAACTGATTCAGTTCTAAAGCATACATATATGCTGTTCCAGGCAAGCAAAAGGTTCTTTAGTTGTATGTTTTACTACACCACTACGAGGCTGGCATTGCTGCAAAATCAGGACTGTGAACAGAAACATTTTCAGGGTCATGGCTGTCTGGAATCTTGCCAAAATTGAATTAGATGGAAGAATAAGGGTCTATTGGTCAATCCTTAGCAAGGTAACACAGATACAGTCTCTGATAGTCACACCTCTGGGCAATTTACCATTTGCAGTCTGCCGCACTTGGACTTCTTTGAAACCAGGAAGAAAAACATAATAACAACCACACACAAAAACACACACACAGAAAGAGGCTAAACTCACAAGAAAAAATACAAAGTCCGTGAACAAAACAACCACAACCTTATTACTGTAAAGCAACAATGGGCAATTGTTTTTGGGCAATGTTGGAAAATGACAATGGTCTGTGCTGACTCAAATTCATCACACTTACAGTAGACGTCCACCCTAATGGACTTGATGGCAGGAGATCCAAGGCCGTTCTCAGCCTTGCAGTAGTAGCGGCCTCCCTGGGTCCTCTGGATCTTTGCGATGTGCAACGTTTCGTTGAAGACGCTGGAGTCCTGGAAACGATCTGACACACTACCAGCTGTCTTTGTCCACCGTATCTACAAAGAAGAAACAGTGAAAATTACTACGCGTTTCAACGACTTGACAGAAGAGACACAGAACAGACTCAGTTAAGAAGCTAATATACAGTGTAAGTATAGAATAAATACCACAGCCAACATAAACAAAAAAGGGCAGGTAAAACAGACTTGGTAAAAACTCTGAAGCTGTTGCAATCTCAAGAAAACGTTCATTTAAAGAAAAATTTTATTCTGATTGGAACAAAATTACTGTTTTTATTCCGTTTTCTTTTGATCACAATAAAGCTTTTGATCACAATAGAGGAACTCAACACTTCCTCAATTTTTTCCCTGTGAAGTGGCTACTGGAAAATAGAGCTACAATAAGGCTTTTGATGTGAAACATTCACAGTGGCATTTCATTGCCAAAAGATTAACAGCAAAAGGAAAAAGAAACCATAAACTGGATGGGAAAGAAAAATCTGTTGAAATGATTCACTAAATCTGTTAAAGAATGCAGTGAATCGTTTTAGGAAGATGGCAAACATCAACAACTATGATCAGGTTAAAGACTTCATAGCCTTGTTGTTGTGAGACTGCAAGAAAAAAACTGTAAACTGCAACAAGTGACTGTAGTCTGCATCATTTACAATGTAACATACTTGTGCACAAATCAAACAAATAATACTGTGTTAAGTAGTGATATTTAGAGGTATCCATAAACAATTTTTGTCACTAATCCACAGAGCCCACCTATACATGTAGCTTTTTCCCCAGTGTATATGTTTAGTGCTAAACTAAGCATAATCCCTCCACTGTCCGAATCCATGTTTTATGAATAGATAGATGAATAGAATAGATTTTAAGCACCTTGAGGCAACCTTTGTTGTGATTTGGTGCCATATAAATAAAATTGAATTGAATATCTGAGCAATATTGATCTTCAAATCTAATCAATGTAGTCTGTGCAGTAGACATAATATATAATATTTAAAAACAAATTACCAAACAACATCTATAAAAATAAGTAAAATAGAAAATAGAAATGAAGGTCTGTCTGTATCTGCTGCCCTTGCTCTCCCTGCAGATAAATCAAATTCTCCGGCAGCTATGATGACCTGCATGTTTGCCACTCTGTTTTTCACATGATCCTGCATTCATTTTATGCAGGAACATTCCTTCTCGAAGCAGCTGAAAGGTTCTTTTGTGAAGCGCACAGTGTTGATTTGGTACCTAAAATCTTCATCTAACTCACTTTCCTCTGTTCCACACAAGACTGACCTCAGCATGGCCTTCTCAGCATGAGTACCTTTCACGAACTGATGAGACCCAGTTAGCCCATGGCATTGAGGTGTAATGAAAGGTGAAATAGTGTTACTCTCCAACATGAGGTTGTAATTGACTCTCCATCATCTCCCTCTCCTGTCCTCATTAAAGCATACAGCATGAACAGGTACTGTGACAACTCTGGCCCGGGGGCCACACAACCAGAACCGTGAAGCATAAAGCGCCATTCAATCCCTCATCCTAAGTAAGCTACAGATGGACTGGCTTTGCCTGCAGAGCCTTACATATCTCTGTCTAGGCAGGGGAGGCTATGAATTAGAATCCAATATCTCCACACTGTATGGTGATAGCATCATCTTGGATACTGATAACATCCCATTTTGCAGCGATAGCATCAGATGGAACAGGGATATCATTGCATGCAGGGATAGGGATTGGGTGCTATCACAGAGATTGCTGCAGCGCTGCTCTAGCTGTAGGGTTTTAACCATGACGACTCCATCCCAAGGTTACGACAGTATGAAGTTTGGTCATTTTCCAAACAGATACGAGAAAGGAAAGGGAAGGGTGGGTGGCCCAAAACCTGATAATGTTAACCTATTTCAGAGGCGTTTTTGGACCTTGGGGGTAGAGGATGACACGAAGCAAAAAATTGAAGCTTATCAGTTTCAGATTCTCTGTCTTGCTTGAGGTGTTACTTTTCAGAGAGGTAGAAATAAATTAGACACCTTTAAAATTCATATACAGAGAGTGTGTGTAAGTTACTAATTCTTTTCAACAACCTCTTCCCCCGAAAAGAAAAAAAGATTCTGCTGTCAGACTGTGCTTATACACCATCCCTTTACACAGAGGCCATACTACCATTAAAAATAAAAGCCTCTAAATTAGCACCCGGCATACAAAAGGCTCCACTTGGCCTGTTTAAAATGCATTGAGAGACACTGAGAGAAAGCACTTGATGAAAAAGCCCAAACTCAGCAGCTGATAGATGCAAAAGCCACACCGTCGGAAAATCTGGGGCCCTGTTCTAACAGTTAGGGACATCATGAGTTCAGCACAACAAGCGCTAAAGTTAAATAACTTATGAGCATAAATTAGATGGGAGCAGATTTTCTGAATACTGTGTCACTACAGTGCTCTGGATTCCCTCATGCAAATACAAAGCGAGCTGGCTTACGGCGACCTCAGCAGAATTCAATATTCACCCAGCTTATACCCCCAGTCATTTTCTTTGGCTTTTGTGTAAAGAGCTTTGAGTTTTCAGAAAATGCAGTATCAATAAATGCATTGTTAGAGTGACACTAAGAAGTGGGTATTCAAATAACTCTTTATATTTTCAAAAAAGGGAAATTGCAGCAGACCACATTATTGGTGAGCTTTCAACTCCTTCTGTACCCTCAGGCTATTTTCATTCCGGCACTCTTCTGACTTTTTTACCTCTGCCCACAAGGGGCGTCCTGAAGTATACCCGGTGAGAACAGTTTGACCCTCTTCACTCTCCTCAGTGCAATGCAAATACTCTTGATCTGAGAGGCGCTGGCAGATTTGAGCAATATGATAATTGTTCCTCCCAGCCCACTGAAAGCCTAGCTGGGTTTTTTTTTCTGTTCTCTTCAAGGACTATGTCAAACAAAACTCGTAAAGTACCTACAAGTATACAGAAGGGAATGTGCCAAACTACCCGTGGTGTACCAGCTAGTAACAGTATTCTAGCAGAATATTATTCCTGTCTGTGCCTTCTGATTAAAAAAACTGCTTTATTTCACATTTTGTGAAAGCACAATGACAAAGCGAAGTCAAACACAATAATAACGCTTTTTTTGTTTTCCTTAAATCAGACAACCCTAGCAGGAATTACAGTATTTGCTTACATGGAAAGCAGAAGCTTGTATAGATTAATATCCAACTGAATATCCCAGCAGTGTCTGAGACCACACATGCTGAGATGTCACAGCACGAGCTAATTAAAATGCACCCAGTGTCTGTTGTTATGCAGTGATCATATGCTGGAGCACGCATCTTTGGTGAATCTGCCATATTGCCTGCTGTGACGTTTCCCTCTACCGAACTCGAGACTAGTTTCTAATTGCCAGCCATCTTTTCTTTTAGACAGTGACATTGGTCCGCGCTGCACAGTGGTGCAGACAAGTGTGGCTGAGCATGACAATCAAGTGATCAGAAAAAGCAGCAGGGGGTCTACAAATTGAGAGTGCACTTACACAGCAGGTCTATATTAGAAAATACTGGCCTTCATAAAAATTGGATGATCATACTGTATGAAACGCATCGCAGTGACAGTTTTGATGTCAGAACCTGAATCAAAGAGGACAAGCACAAGACAGTGACATACACGAAAATGAAACTACATCTGCTTTTTGTTTGTTGAACTGCATAGTGTATGCTTGACTGGTGCTATTAAATTCACTTTAAAGACTATAGGTGGGTTGGATAGGGTGCAGATTAAGGGAAAGCTATCAGACAGATCCCCTTTTGATACTGCAGTCTGTATGGCAAACAGTGGAAAAATAGAAGGTTACATCATGCTCAAAAAAAGCACCATCTGCTAAAGACACTGGCACTGTAGGCTAACTGTCATGGGAGCATCCAAAACAGATCACATACTCCAAGCGGTCTGTATAAAGCGAAATATCCTAGGGCCTGAGGTCAGCTTATTTGTACTTGCTGACCCGTGGTGCTGTGAGTTGAATCTGGCTGGCCAATAATTGAAACACACACAAAAAAAGGTGTTTGCGATGTGGTTTTGCTGGCTATTGGAGCTTGGTACTCAAACAAAGTACTGTGGACATAATGGATGGAGGCCAGGGCAGAGGAGATGGGGGCAGATGGCTTCATCATCAGGGACTCTTTGATGTCTGTTCATAGCATCAAAGACAATGAATAGATCTGGAGAACAGTGACCATGAAAGTATGAACAGGAAAAGCTGTTTATATTTATGTGGTGGTCTGACAGAGTCAAAAACACCCAAACAGTCAAAGAAAGACAAATAATATGATTAAGGAAGCAAATAAGACTTATGAAACACTGTTTTTTAAAAAGGAATGAACAAATCTATTTTTCTTTCCAGCTTTGAGTCATCTATCGATGTGCAATTCTCTAAAAAAAATAATTTGTAAAATGTAAGAAAATATTTAAAAAATGTGTACAGTTTTATAGAAACCCAGAGGACATTTTTTACATTAGATTTACATATAAATATGTTTTACATTCTTCAAAACACTGAACAACTGCACATCTTTGCAATTAAAAGCTTTAGCCAGCTGTTTGTTAATATCGCTTAATAAATGACTTCTTACCAAACTAAAACCAATTAAGTTCTTTTCCTTGAGCAAATGATTAATGGACTGCTGCAATACACAGAGATGTTAGTCCTGTAGCAGAGGAGGCACTGCATCAATGAGGATTTTTTCAAGCCATTTGATATTTGTCATCCTTTTTTATAAATTTGGTAAAGATGCAAAAATATAAATTTCAGGACTTCTAGACTCACCAGATTTCATGATTCTTATCTTTTTAAATTTTCTATAAATCATTAACTTGAAGATGTCAAATTGTGTGCACTCTTTGAATTACAGTTTTAGTAAAATATTTAGTTAAACAGCCAATTCAATTTAAATGTATTTATTTAGAGTCAAATAACAACAACAACAACAGATCCTAAAATACTATAGAGAAAACCCCAACAATCAACAACCTCTTATGTCCCCCTTGGCGACAGTGGGAAGGAAAAACTCCCTTTTAACAAGCAGAAACCTCTGGCAGAACCAGGCTCAGGGAGGGGCAGCCATCTGCTGTGATCGGCTGTGGGTGAGGGAAAGGAACCGGGACAAAAGACACGCTTTGGAGGACAGCCAAGCCACTTGTAGCTAAAGACAGAAAAGTCAGCAACATCACTAAGGGGGCGAATTTTGCTGGCTGACCTTCATGATCACACCCTGAGATGTCTGTGACTGTACTGAGCGAGGGTTTTCCCCTCATAGTCAAGAGGTTTATTAGATGGGGCATTGTTTGGTGCAAAACAGGGCACTGCTTATTTGCAATGTCTGAATCATAAGCTGTTGAATATACCCGAACATAAGACGTTATTATGACCAAAGCATCAGATGTTGCTTATAACCAGTATATTAGGCCGTTTCAAGTAGTATTTGAAACAGTATGAGACAACAGAGCATATTTTAGTGTTGAGAAATGTCTTATTCTTTTCCTCATAGAGCTAAGATCTGAAAATCCTTCTAGCGACATCTGTACTATACATCCCACAGAATTAGATTTAATTGGTCCCTGATCCCTCCAGATACAAATAGTCCCAGTCTTTCTGCATAGCCCAGGGTAACACCTTGAAATGCCTAACCCACAAGTCAGCAATGAAAAAACACATATGGTGTGGAGTTGACTGACAGGAACATATATTTATTTGACAATTAAATGGAAAGGCAGAGAAGTCTTGCTGCTGCTACAAGTGTGTTTGTATGTGTGCCTGTATTGGCTGGATGCATGTATGACTTTATTATTAGAAAGCCCTTGTTTTTCTTTCTGAGGTGGGTGGGCGGATAGGCACAGGGCTGACAAGGAGAACGGCTACAAGGAGGATGCTGCCTGTTTGGACACAATCCAGAGACTCCCACCAGTGAGAAGGCCTATAGGGGTGTCTCTGTAATTTAAGAAGTGTGCATATTGATAGACATGTGAAGAATTAACGGTGGCAAAATAGCCAACCACGGACCCATTTACTCTGCAGTTGGTCCTTTGTGGCACTATACTTGGCACAGCACCCCTCAGTGTATGCATTAACCCAGCACCAGTCAAAGTCAAAGAAAGAGACTGCAATCTGAACATTAACATTGAAAAAGGCAATTTTGTGATTTGCTATTGCAGAACTAATTGAGGATTTTACTATGCTAGAGATGTGCCATGAGTCTATGTGATATCATCATCCTTGATTCAAGCTGCTATATGGAAGGATTGCTTTGGTCACCCAAAGTTAGCATCGGAGAAACCAACTGGTTTGAAAAATGCAAACTGGAAATGCCGAACATTTGCCTTGAAAGGAAAAGCTGCACCTCTTGAAATGTGTTGGCTGCAGCGGTGAGCCATCACTTTTACTTTGAAGGAAACTGTTCTCCGTTTCCTGTTTTTGTGTTTCTGGTAGCAGCCAAAGCTGCAGTTTGGTGCAACATCCTCTCAGCAATCAATTTTACCTTTGACTTCTAGCAGCCTCTGACAACTGCTGGAAATATGCATTTGTCAGAGGCCTAAAGACATTGACCCGTTCCTGGGCCTGTGCAACTGAGATCTTGGTATAGATATAGAGGGCATATCTGACTTATCAGTGCTAACTTGCAAGTGAACTGTGCCTACCAATATTTTTTAAATAATGTTATATGAATTCTGAAGTCTGAGAAAAACACAAAATGTGATTTTTGTCTTTCTTTCAGGCCTACCCTATATAATTTAGTAAAGTAAAACAAGTTATAGAAAAATGTCTTGCTATACTCTATGGTTATGATGTTTTGGTTAATATAAAGTACTGTAGGCAGTTGACAAGATTACAGAGTCCAGTCAAGACATTATAGTAGCCAGGGAAACTAACTGTCCATCCCATCCATCCATCCATTCGCTTCCGCTTATCCTTTCCAGGGTCGCGGGGGGCGCTGGAGCCTATCCCAGCTGTCATGGGGCGAGAGGCAGGGTACACCCTGGACAGGTCGCCAGTCTGTCGCAGGGCCAACACACAGGGACAGACAACCATTCGCTCTCACATTCACTCGCACATTCACACCTAGTGGCAATTTGGATTATCCAATTAACCTATCCCCACAAGTTGCATGTCTTTGGACGGTGGGAGGAAGCCGGAGTACCCGGAGAAAACCCACGCAAACACGGGGAGAACATGCAAACTCCACACAGAAAGACCCCAGCGTGATGGTGGAATTGAACTCAGGACCTTCTTGCTGTGCGGCAACAGTGCTAACCACCGTGCCACCGTGCTGCCCACTAACTGTATTAATGCATAATTTCAATTTATTCACCTGTTATAAGCTACGTATTTTATATATATTAATAATTTACTGTATGTATCATACCTATCATCATGTTTCATAAAAAACAAGATCATTTATATGATATACAGTAAATCATGTGAGAGTTAAACATGGAAATATGTATAGAAAATATCTGCTAGTATCACAGAGAAGTACATACAAAAGACACAGAAAGCAAACTCACACACACATAAAGAACTGTTCGCACTGGTTGTCTATCTGAACTTGCACACTTGTAAAGTATCAAGACAGGACACAAAAAAGAAACTCAGCTCAATTAAAATGTGGAACTTTGGGGCAAAGAAAGGCTCAGAACACGTTCTAAGGATTAATATTTAATTCTAAAGAAAAGATGGGCTGTTACTGCCGTATTAACTTGCAAGTGTGTTTCCGATGAGGTCACACACCTTTTGGTTTTTCTTGCAACATCACAAAACCAGCCTTAGGTCTACTGCCATTCCAGATAACCACCTCAGCCTCCTAAACCACTCAGAATGAGTGTGCTCTATCCCCAGTCCCATGCCACTACCAGAGGGGGGACAAAGCTGACACAGCCGAGACCCACTGTGCCAGGGGATCTGCATGAGTCTCATAATGACTCTGTTTCAAAGGAGATCCTGCCTTTCCTGCCACAGCCCTGCATAGCTTTTGATCTCGCGCTGCACTCCCACCCACTCCCTCGCTCTGCTCTGTTTTTCAAAAATTCTAATTAAGAGGAAAGACAGAGATGATGAGTGCAAAGTTGTGACCCCCTCCCGGGGACGGAAAGAGACGAACAGTGTGCCTGAAACAGTCTTATTCAAGGAGCCTCACCTTTTCAGTTGAAACATAAAAAAACCATATGCGTTTTGGTTTTGCCGTCCAGAGTTTCTGGAGATTCTGTATAATTTTTGTTATTGAGCAAATAAGATAAGATAAAAGATGACCTTTATTAGTCCCACAGGTGGGAAATTTGTTTTGTTGCAGCAAAAGTGCAAATTTATGTAGCAGAAACTAGAAAACACTGTAATGCAATAAAATAGAATAAAATAGAATAATATATACAATAGAATAAAATAGAATACAAATGCTATATACAACTGAGTAAGAAAATACAACTTTGTCAGAAAAAGAATTGCACATATAGCAGCCTTATTGCACATATGTGGGTTTGATCAGCTGCAAAAGTCTTTGTTCAAATCAGAAGCAACATGTAATAAAAAGACAATAAAGGTTAGGGTGACCTACTGGGTTAATAAGAACAAAATGTCATGGTCAAGTAATTCATAGCAAACCTGTTTTATGTATCTATGTGGCTCATAATAGCTCACATTTAGTCTAAAAGAGCAGATGAGACCTTATTTTTGCCATCTGCTTACTTTTTTAAACTTTTAATTGTATGTTTCTAGATTTGAATACTACAAACAATACATAGTGAGCACAAAAAAACCAAACTAATTATAAGCTTATTTTCATCAGAGAAAAAAAGGTGTAAAGTTTTTTAATTAGTTCACATCACAACAGTAAATAAGAATGTGAGGAAGCCTTGCTCTCAGATGTTGAGAACCCATGTGCATTCACATGACCCAGAGTCTTTTAACTGTGGCCTGTTTCTCACTCGTTTGGCAGATGTTTTTGCTGTTTTCTGCAATCTCATTTTACTTGGAAGCTGTAATTATCAGCATACAGGTGCACAAAGCAAACGAAACCATTAATAATTAAAGGATTAAACTTTTAAGCTGATTTAGTGCAGACTTATGTGGTGTGCAGCTTTGATGCTAATACAGATTTAAAAGGGAGCTTTCTGCAGAGAGGAGAGATGGATACAGAGATATGGTACAAATTAACAAACTGCCCCATGATTTGCATGTGCAACTATCTTTTCTTTCCCATGCTGTCGGTTAAGGGCAGATGAAAAGGCGCTGACTTTCCTACCTGCGGTCGAGGATGACCTGTCACCAGACAGGTGAGCTCCAGGGTCTCCCCTTCTCGTATGGTGTAGACTCTCTCGGTGTGCCTCTCCTCTTCAACATTACAGGCGTGCCCCGAGTGTATAATGCGGACCGTAGGAGGTGCTGTTTGGGGGGGGGGGAAGCACAAAGTGTGTTAGCATTCTGGTCGTTTCTGAAGGAATGAGTAGTTTAGTGAAGTAGATGGTGTATTGATTAAAAGGTTGTCTCACTTATAACAAGGCTATTCCAAAGCTTTGTGCACACATTTACACTGCACCAAGCACACAAATAACTAGAGACAGGTAAAAGAATTGCAAAAAGAAGTGACACTACTTTTATAGCATTCACCTTGGCTTAGCATTTTAAAAGCTGCCTATTAATTATTGGGGACTGGCAGTAGTAGCACTTTGTTTCTCTCTAAGTCACAGGGGTGAGCAACCAAACTTGGCACACAGGTAGGCCCATAAAGGTTCTTATCTATATCAGAAGTTGTGACAACATTGTGTCGCTAAATAACCACTCGGCAACAGGCTTCAATCATGTATTTTGAGCATTTATGCAACTGTAACACTTTATAAAAGCATCATATCATTTTTGTTTCACCAAAACAACATTTCATTTAAGTCCACAAATGTTGAATTATGCATGATGTATTATGATGCCATCCTGCTACTTAGCAACGACCTAGCAACAGTGTAAAATGACCCACTTTAAGCATATAAACAACATCTATCGCCTGTGTTCTCTTTTTTTTGTTATTACTTTTTTGTTACTTTGCTCAGTGTGATTAGGCTCATCAGTCTGCCAAAAACACATACAGGCCTAACAGTACTATTGCACAAAATTTGTATGATTTTGTTTGGGCCAGTGATTGATTGAGTTACTTGCAGAATTTTCTTAAAAGACCTCTCAGGGATAAACTATCTTCGTTTTTGATTTTAGGGTTTTTACCTTACAGTATAAAGTGCCTTGAGGCAACTGTTGTTGTGATTGGGTGCTATATAAATGCACCTGAATTGAACTGAAGCTACTTAGAAAGGTTGGGGAGGTATTGTACGTTAGCTGTGGCAGAAGCAGTAACCGAATAAAATACGTCAAATTTCAATCAGACAGGCAGCAGTAATGACCATCTGCAAAATACTGATGGTATGCCACAGAACTAGTAATCTTGGAAAATATCTTTCACTATCTCCCCTATACTCCGTGCCATCAGATATCAGAATTAATTTAGAACTCAGTGTAATTACATGGAAGAAGGGTTTTATTACAAAAATGATTACTTAAAAAAAGAAATAAAAGATATATCAGTGCACTTCTGGAAAACACTTTGACTCAGAAAAGCATAATATTTCACGAAATGTTAATACCAGCTAAAAAAAAAAACTGCCATTAGACCATATGGAGAGTGGGTGTCCATATTTAAATTACTGCATACCTCATTTTGGAACCGAACTCATCATGTAGCACATTCATTTTTCCGCATAACTTCCTAATGCAATCTAATCAGGGATATAAAAATGCCGGAAACTGCAATATGAGTAAATTAAACTACCCACAGCTGTCTGTTCACAGCTGTAATTACCACACTGGTGTTTCTCTCCATCATTTGTTTGACCCTTGTGAGACGGTGAGAGGATTTTTGGTCTCTGCACACACCAACAGACAGTGGTGCATACGCGATGGGGGTTAAACTGAGCAGAGGAAGGAGTCATCTTAGGTAAACCACTTCAAAATATTCACTTCCACTGAGCTGTAAAAAATGCAGTTGCATGTAACCAACCCCTGACAATACTAGCATCTGTTAAGCATTTATTCCTCTCCAACTTACATGATTAGTGAAGAGGTTTGGGATGAGATGATTTAGAGAGCGGATACGGGGTATCATTAGGAGGAGGAGTACAAAATGGTGAAAAAGAAGGGGGAGAAAAACAAATTCATGCTGAAAAATCACGAGGAGTTTCAGACTGTTGCTTGCCTTTCATGTTAGAGGAGCAGCTTCCTGTGTGGGCCTCTCTAGGCAGAGCGTGCCCCAGCAGCAGAGTCAGTTCTACCTCTACCCAGGCTTCAATGCTAATGAGCACATCGCCACTCCTCCCGAACACTGCTTTGGGAGTCTCAGTGTATCCTTCGCCATGCACTAACCGCTCGTCCCTCCCTGATACTAGCCATGCTGTTTGTTTCATCTGGGTTGTTGGCTTAATGCTCCTTCTCACTTGTCCTGCCTGTCTAAATGCCACATGGTGATGTGCACTGATACAGGTGCTAAATGCGCACGCATGAAGCCTTCCTTCTATTCCTTGCCCTTCATTGTCTTCCCTTCTCAATTTGGACACACTGGTGCTGAATTCCATGGGGGGGAATAAGGGTCTGAGAAATAGGCTCAGTGTAAGGGAGCTTCACGCAAGGCTGCCACTTGAAAGAAAAAAGGCTTAGAAACAAGACCCCAGGGTACTAGCTAAACAAAGTGCTAATGGCATTTACTCCATTGAACCAGTATCTCTCTAGCATAGGCTACTATCAGTCCTGGAGGAAAGTAGGGAAACACCCATAATTAATGATCTTCAGCTCCTATCACAGTTACTGCAACAGCTGCATACACAATCGCATAAACACACACTCGTTCTTTATGCAGACAACACCAGGCTTACAGCCACAAAAGCAAATAACCGTCTCTTGAGCTTACATAATGAGCATCCTAATGTTCTAACAGTGACACATATCCTTGTACAGCTACGACCTGCTTTTTCAAATCGTTTGGCCCAAAGCGTGAGCTAAAATCACTGTCATTACAACGTAATTTTCAGTTTGCGTTCGTGAAAGCCACTTGATACTTTACAAACAGTAACTATTCATATACTTAGAAAAGATATTTAGGAATGGGCAATGTGACATTAATGCTGTGGGATTTAGGGCCAGGGCTTCACAAAGTAAGACATCAGTGGACTGACAGGTCTGAGATAAAAGATGTGCTGGTTGAAGGGAAACAGGAGACAGACAAAGCTTTGAACACACCACAGCGGGTCAGAAGTGTCAGGTTATATCCCTCTAATTCTTAACTACATCCCATACAAGTTCATTACATGGAAAAAGATGATGTCTTATATACTGCAAATGGTATGTTATAAAGAGCCTGTCTAATCGTTTCTATCTACCTCCTTGCGTGCTTTGAATGGAGAATAACGATTTTTGCCTTACAGGATAGATGCAGCTTTTACACATTTTTTTTAATCTTGTTATTTAACCAAGACTGGTGTGCTGTTAAGGTTGAATTACAGATTGCATCTTATATGTGTAATTATTATGACTGCCTGACATGTTATGTACAGCTGTATAAAGTGTCATATGTGCAACAGTATATTTAATCTGTAAGTAAACATCTTAAATAAAGGCGCCTAAGAAATCAAATCAAGTCAATTTCAGTAAAAGCTTCAAATTTAGATGCATCACATTATGTTGTATTCAGCAGTAAGTGCATGGAACATGCCAGCAGTAAGAAACTGCAGATCACACATTATTCGGACTAGCGAGGGTCCAATTTGCTAATGTTTGCTAAAGCTTAAAAAAGATAACTTAATTTAATCTTTCATTTTCATCTAATTTAGTTTTGCTTAGTTAGTTTCCAAACCAACAAGGCCTAATTATCTTTAGTGGGAGAAGAAACACTAAGTTCATAATTCTAAGAAATGGAAAACACAAAATGCTCTGCTGCAACTTGAAGTCCTACAGATGTGATAATAATTAATGGTGCCCGCTGGAGTTTTGCAAGCAACAAAAGTTATCATTAAGACGCATCTTGACACACAATACCATCTGGAAAGCATCTAACTGGCAACGGCTTCATTTTTCGGCATGGCAATGCTGTAACTCACTGCCAGTGCAGTAAAAGCATACCTGGACAGAAAAACACATAATGGAAGACTATCAGTCATGGACTGGCTTCCCCAGAGCCCGGACCTCAGCATCATCTTGACAGAGAATGTAACATAGAGCTTTGTATTTCCTTCCAAGAGAGTTCAGGCTGTGTACAGTTAGAATTGTACAAAGTAGTTTTTGCCTTTTATACTGTATTTTCATGTATGTTTGCACATTTAAATGAATCTTTGCACCTGTTTCTCATTTTCTTAGAAAAATATAAAGCAACGAGGACTTGTTAAAGACTTTTTCACCATATTCTACTCTGTTTGGTTGATGTGAGGATGCTTCTTGGGTCGAGCATGCAGGAAGCAGGACATTTGGCACCTGCTCGCTCACTGTGAATTTTCCAGACCGTTACACTTTTTACTAGCGAGCTGGCAGGTTAAAGACTGTTTAATCTTCAATCTGAATTGGACATTTACATTCCTGCTTGCAACTCCACTACGTTGAGAAGAGTTCACAGCTAAAGGGCATGTGTGAGAACAGCTTGAGTGATTAAGCTTATCAGACACAATTTAAAAACAACCAAAAAGATGTTACAGAGTATTTTTAAACCTGAAACTGGACACTTAATCTAAGCATATTAAAATCAGTCATACAGACCTGCACAAAAAAATAAATACAGGGAGTGCAGAATTATTAGGCAAGTTGTATTTTTGAGGAATAATTTTATTATTGAACAACAACCATGTTCTCAATGAACCCAAAAAACTCATTA